AAAATTAGTCAGCTATGTGAGGGATATGTGCAATCTATTTCCCCGAAGGAGTAGAAACAGCTACCTTAGAGGGGTCTAGAAGAACATCTGACAAGAGGAAGAAACACTGAAACTCCAGCTATTTCCTCTCCTCCCATTTTTTCATTATCATGCTTTTTTTAAGCTTTTCTCTTTTTTTCTCAGTTGTGTTTTATCTGGGATTTGTCTGTTTTTTGTTCATTATTTGGTCATTTTGTTTTTATTGGATCTTCTGATTCACCAATTATTTTTTAAATGTATCTAGGTTTTCCACTTATACAAAAAATTTTCTATTTTATTGGCTGACAAGAAACAGTTCTCTCATTTACTACTATTGAGTTTCTTTGCATAATTATTGGCTTGTAAACCTTGTATTTTGGCGGTAAGCAAAATTGTTAGAATGCAGTTTTTGAACTCATTGTTTTTATCTAAATGAAGGTTAATTTTTTCCCCTCAAGTTTGTGGGTCTTGGCATTGCCCTCAAATATGTTAGATGAATTTGTTTTAATTCCAATTGAAGTTTTTGCAGAATTGTTAAGTAAATTGGTCCTTATCTTAAATTCAGTTTATTTTTCGTCATTTAAAACCACCCTTTTCTAATCTGCACTCTTTATGCTGTTTTTGGTGCTTTCAGAATTGGATAGTTTACTGTACTAATAAATTCTCTTTTTCTGTTTTGTTATAGTCTGATGCTTCTTGTTGACTCCATTCAATTCCACGTTCCAAGTTACTCAATTGTTTCCCTGATAAAGGACCTGAGCCCCATCTTAATCCAACCGTGTCCACGAGAGCCTCAGTTCTCCAGGGACTCTCACTCCTGATTGGCTGAGGCAGCAGCGGGAGCCATTGTCAGCCAGTGAGCCAATCAGGAGAGGCTGAGCCACGGCTCTGAGTGTGACTGGACACGAAGAACTGTGGCTCTGGAGCATGCCTGCTTGGGTGCCCCCATAGCAAACTGTTTGCTGTGGTGGCACCAGACAGGAGGGAGGGTCCAGAAGCGCCGACAGGGAACCCACAAAAAGAGGATCCAGGCTACTCTGTGCAAAACCACTGCACAGAGCAGGTAAGTATGACATGTTTGTTATTTTTAAGAAAAAAAAACAAGACTTTAGTGTCACTTTAACTGTTTTCAATAAAGTTTCTATGCAGCTTTCTCTGCAGGTTTTCCTAATTTTAATAGAGTGAAAGTCAGGAGGCTTTTCTATTGCACTGTGTGATGAAATCATATCTTTGACCATCGATGACAATTTACACAAGAAAAGAATCCCTCCATTACCCACTTCATACATTTAAGATAAAATAATACATTCAAATTACAGTTCTAGTTGCAATTTAACTTTTAACAATCGATTCTGACCACAATAACACAGCCTATTGTTCTGATGACTCAAGTTAGAGATTAACATGTTTGCTAATTGTCATTTCACAACTTACTTCTGTTTCTTTGATGTGTATTCCATCTAGGTAGATGTGATATTTAAACTTAATATGGAAATTATCAACAATGGGATGAGTTAAATTGATTACAATTGAAGTTGCAGTGGAAAATAAATTGATTTTTGGAGGTCCAAGGATAGCTGAGAAAAAAAAGACAGAAAATATTGGTATATTCAAATTAAATGCAGTATATATTTTATGACCGAAGCAAGTGGACCCTTTGCTCTGGTGAATCATGCAGAACAGGAGGATGAAATTTACTATTATTGATCCTATTCATTACTACAGTTTTCTGTCAGGTAAAGACTTGGGATTGAGGGCATAGATATGCACACAGCTTTTATTTTTCCAGTCAAACACATGACAGGGTAGTGTCAACTAAATGCTGCACTCTTGAGAATTTCTTGGATCATTTCTGTGCTTGTGCAGTATGTTTGTAAAAGTAAATTAATTTCTCAGTTCATGCATAAAACAAAAAGTGTGGTCACAAAGCAAATTATAATTAGTTGTTGCCATCTAAACTAAAGTGATTCTTGCATTTATGCATGGCAAATGGTCTTTAGTAATCTGGCACAGTATACAATGCAGCAGCTTGGCAGTAATAAGCATGTTCGCTGCAATGATACAAAATTTGGACTCATTCTTCAAAAAAATCAAGTGACCAAAATAAAGCAAATAGCTTGATGAACTAATAAAATGATAGAATTTCTCCCCTTAAATCCACAAATATCAGTTACTTGGTGTTTTCTGTTTCTGTATAGAGAGAAAAAAGTGACGTTTTTTTTTTCAGCTGAGACCAATGAGATATGAAATTGACAGTCTAAATTAAAGATCCTTATCCTTGTGCTTACGCTTTGTGAATTGACCCCAAAGTATTACATAACTTTCTGTGCACTGCTGGGAATCAAATGTTAAACTCGCAATTGCATATATCCATTAGTTTTAGCGCCAGCTCTTGGCTTCCACAGTGATGAGACAAGCATCAATTTGTAAGAGTTAACCTGATGTTAGAAGTCAAGTTTGGTGATGGTGAGTCTAAACTAAGAGTTATCTTTATCACTTTAGCCATTGTTTTAGAGCTTCAAGTTAAATTTTAGAGTTAAATAATAACTTTAGACCATTTTTAAAAAATGTGTATAGGGTAAGCAAGGATTAGAAACTCTGGCTTTTTTTCCTGCTGTTTCTAGCCCCATTGGAGAGACATGTGGGAGGCAGCCAAAAGCAACAAAACAGTATTAGTTAGTACAGTGAGGGAAGACCAGAATCTTAGTTTTTTTTTTTTTTGCTAAATGATTTTGCTTTTATTGCATATGTAATCAGGAGAAATACTACCCCAGGTCTACAGTTCATATTGAGCAGTAAGGCATTATCATGGCTACTATATATAACTAAAACAGCAAGTGTAAACTTACTTTGATAATAAGGTTCAAACCCTTCTGAAATTTCAGAGGTAGAACAATTCAGATTGCTTACAGTGATATTTCCATATGTTGTTGCAATCGTGTTTGTATCATGAGCTAGGTTGCACCATGTCCAAGTTATATTTGTGCATTCTAGCTTTCTGTGCCATATATCACTCCCATATCTGCACATAGAGATAACATAAAATTATTGTGTTGTTATAAGACCAAATCTACAAATGACAATATAATATTTATTTTAGATTTATAGGGGAACCACATTAAAGGCAGATGGTTTGAGCTGAAAAAGGTAAAGAAAGTGTTAAAGCACATCTAAACTCAAAAGCAAAAATTTTAATGTAAAATTGACAGCGCTATATAAGTACCTATAATAAATAAAAAACAAAAAATAGATGTTCTGGTATAGATTTTTGGAGGGCATCTCATCCTTTTTTTTTATTTTTGCATGGTGTTTCCCCTTAATCTCCATATAAAACCTGAAGGGTCTAGTAAAAAAATTTGGATGGACTTCAAGCTGTTTTTTTTTTTTTTTGTGTGGTATTCCCTTTAACATTCATTTCAAACCTGAAAGGCCTGATATGAATTATGAGGGAACCCCTATGCCATTTTTATAACAATCCGTGTCCCTTTGCGTACATGTACTAGGGTTTCCAGCCATGTAAGTGAAAGGGCCAGGTGACATTACCAGTTGTTAAGGACTTGGCCGTGCCTGCAGCTGCCAGCGTCCCTAAGAACCATTGACAGTGGGAAGCTGTCAAGTAGAATAGCAGAAGTAAAACCAATATTGTGCATGATGTTCAGCTCCCACTGAATGGATAAATGTTTGGGTGTTTGCCTGCACAGCCAAACTTATATTGGTACCGAACCTTCACTCATTCTTAGCAGCCATCACATCTAAGAGCTGGTAAGCTGAAATATGTTCGTTTTTTCTTAGATATCCTTTAAATCGGTTCTTCACACACTGTTGGTATCATTATTGTAATGTACACATACAAGACAAAAACAACAAATAAAATCACTTTTATCTGCACTTTAGATTAATACGCATTTCCATATACATTTTTTTCTGAAGCAAGGATCTTGGCTCTATATGATTTTGGTGAGGAACCTGCAGGATCTTGGTACAGAAGCAATGCAAGGCAAGGCAAGTATGCAGCAGAATAGGGGTTAGGTTTAATAGGTGATGTTAAGGAGGACCTGAACTCAAAAATGTATTTGCTTTGTTATAGGAACACTTACAGTAGAAGTGTTGTTTGTGTCTAAGGAGTACCCTGAAAGATTCACTTTTGCCTTGAATTTTTCATAAAAATAACAAAGCACTGGGACGTGAGTTGATTTGCAGCATTATAGCTGTATATCTGCAGTTTGAGATATAAGGCACTGCTGCCTCTGGCTATTAGTGAGAGTTGGTAATGTCACTTCTGTGCTGCTCATTGGTCTCCATGCTGGAGGCTCTAATGTGAGAAAGCAAAGCCCTGGCTATACCCAGATGGCCATCTCCACAAAGATAAAAAGGGCAGAATACGATATGGCAGTAATGGGAATAGATCACTTGCAGGGAGACCACAGACAATACTGATGGCTAATCATTTGCCCTCTGCCTGCCTTTTTTTGGGCACAGCTACCAGAGTTCAGTTAATCTTTTAGGGTTCACATAAGGGGTCTGGTTACCACGATCATGCACCAGTTTACAACATAGGAACAGTTAAGAGGGTGGTGAGATTTATACTTTATCTCAAACACCTTTACTCCAGACGCTATTCACATTAGATATTGAACTGGACAGTAAAACGTTTCCTCTAAATAAAGTACAGGACAAAAGCAAGTCCGGATGCAAATTCATCTCTTGTTTGGGGGTTAGGTTATTATTGTGAACCCCCACAATAATAACCTATCCTATCCATAGCAATATATTATGTTTGCTTTCTGTTTGAAAGTGGATTTTTTATTTTCTTTTAAATTAACTTTCTTCATAAATATTAATCTACTTTGCGCTAAGTGTTGGCTTTAAAGCTTTGAAACCTTCTTCAGGTTCCTTTCCAGATCTGAAAATCCTACATGCAAACCCTACCTCAGTTCTTATCTTAAACCCAGAACCCTGCATTCACTATATTTGGTCTCCCACAGTACAAATGCAATGATTTTAGTAAATATAAACTGCTAAATACCTTTTCTCCTCAGCAGTTGGGGCAGTCTTGTGGCTTCTATCAGTGTCCAGCTGAGCACTGGTTAAAGCTTGTAGGATGAGTTTTCTTTCTGTTCTAGGAGGATGCAGGACCCCTGACCTCTGTCTGGACAGTGTTGATTGGCCCTGTGCTGATCACATGCACTCTCCCAAGAACAAAAAAAACCTCTCTAGCAATACACACCAAAGTGAGCCTGAGCAGAGTGACTCCAAACCTCTGTTCTATCAGGAGATATTTAGGGAACAATGAAAGAAAAGGAGAATCAGAGAAGTCAGGATCAAACATCCTTTTTACACAATGCAGAGGATTAACCACTTAGATTCCACAGGGAGTATAACAAGCATGCTTTACTACATATACAGACTGATTTTACTGTTGTGGGTTTAGTAACACTTTAACCCCTGCATGACAGGTAAAATAAATCTAATGTCCGAACACAGTTTTTCTTTGATGTGTGTAAGTAAAACTGTATATATCATCGCAACTACTTAGTGCATCCAGGGCATCCATGTTTTTTGTTTTTTTCAGGACGAATTGGGCTTTCATTTGTGGTAAATGGATGTCTCCTGTTTTTTTTAATTATCAAAGGAAAAGTGGCATTAAATATAAAAAAAAATGTTTTTAAATGTTTCTGTATATTTCTTGCTATCACCATAATTTACAACCAAAGAACAACCCAAAACAAATTCTCCTACTCCTGGAAACCACAGTGATGTCCCTTATGTGTATATTATTAATTCTTTATACCCATAGTAGGGCCCAAATAATAGTGTGCATTTTGCTTTTTATATCTGATTTAAAACACACTGACACTGATACTAAATTAAAACATTTTTTTTTATCCTACCTAAAATACACTAACCGTGGGCTTTCACTGAATACCCTGACCTAGACCAAACACTGAACTAGCCAATTTATCTTTGTCATATATTTTTTTTTCCTTTTACATACACTCTAGCAGAAAGGAAAATATAAAATATATCCTTTTCCCTACTCAAGAGAAGAAAAAAATCATAGGGGTCAGCTTTACAGCGATTAATCTCGGTGAGAGTCTCTGTGCTGAGATCGCACTGTGCAGATCGCTGTAAGCACAAACACAGTGGTGCACATAGGCAGCCCCATGGAAGAAGACTTACTTCAATAAGGTTGCATATATGAGTACTCTCAGCATTAAAGTGGTAATAAACCCAAGAGCAGTGCAGCTTACCATATCTTAGATGTAATGTAAATTGATTTTCTTTTTTAGGGTTTTGTTCTTTTATTTTCACCTGGTGATCCAGCCAGTAAGTCAGTCATTGTTCTTATTCAAAAGAACACACTCTCCAGGAGAATGTATCAGTAACAGAGATGAGACAAACCATTTACCACTAGCAGGGGAACTTACAGTGGTCAGCTTTTACTTATTCATGTAAAACCTTTATCCCAAAAGGAAAAAAAAAACAGTTTGCTGTAACCGCTTATAAAGTGTGGAACTGAGTTTGTTAGTATATACACTCCCCTCCCCCCAGACTGACAATACTGTCCTGTTCTTATTCATCCAGAGTGTGGGCCCTCTAATACAGAAGGTGTGTTACTGGCCAGATCCCCAGGTGAAAGCAGAGGGGAAAAAGCCTAAAAAAAAACCAAACTAATGCAGCCACCACATCTAAGGACTGGTAAGCTGCCATATATCACATTTTTAGTTTTGGGGTGTTTCATACCACTTTAAGGGGTTGAAGGGATACTTACTCTTTTTGATTCTGTATAATCAAAAAGAAGGCCATAACAATACAATGAAGCTGTTAGAACTCACACTAAGTATGTAACAGTATAAAACACTCCTTCTGCTTTCTCTGGTGGCATCCAGGTCAGAGTAGTGTTCATGTCCACAGAATAGAAGCTCACGTTTCTTGGCTTTAGAAATTCACACTTATTGGCTGCAATGGAAATTAAAAAGAAACAGGCGATCAGTAAACAAATCTATTTGAATAAGTATCCAACTGGAGACTCTGGATTTGATTTATTAGAAAACAAGAATGTTCACTTCACCTATGCAGTCCTATGAAAAGCAAATTCTTGTTTACATTGAATACCCAATTATGTGCAGATGCTTTTCACATGATTGGATAATTGAAGTAAATATTCACACATTCATTTTCAGTAAAAATTTTTAAACCTTTTTAACAAATCAGCCCCATTATCTCATTATCAGATAAATACTAATAAGTAATGAGCAAACAAATGACATGCATTAACATGTATCAAAAATCATACTAACTAAAAATACCACAATGTGAAGTGCATATATAAATGTGAATAAAATATAGTATGTACAAAAGTCCAATCCAAAATTTAGTTGATATGCTCCAAAGGTGCTCAGTGTCCAAAAACAATCAGTGATAATGGTTTAAGATAAATTATGGTGTACACCCAGTGTAATCCACCACCAATTACACTAGCTGCTCACCTCAGTCATGTACTGTATATACACAAGTGCCTTGACCCTTAACCAGCCTGCAATAGCTCCCCAGACCTCTCCATATCTAATCAGGGCTCAAACCTTCTGTGTGTAGCAGCCCCCTCAGCCCCCCCATAACAATTACCTGAGCCCCATCCTGATGCAGCAATGTCTACGAGATCCTCGGTTCTCTGGAGACTCTGAAACTTGATTGGTAGAGGCCATTGGCTTCTGCTGCTGTCAGTTACAGCCAGTGAGCCAATCAGGAGAGGGAGGGGGCGGAGCAGAGCCACAGCTCTGTGTGAGTATAAATGTAATAAAGCTGTTTGCTGAGGGGGCACCTGACAGGAGGGAAGGGCCAGGAGCGTCTGCGGGGTCCAAGAAGAGGAGGATCCAGGCTGCTCTGTGGAAAACCATTGCGCACAGCAGGTAAGTATAACCTGTTCTTTATTTATTTTTATTTTTTTAGTATCATTTTAATCACCACAAGGGATCTCCACACTCTCTAGGAAGCAATTAACAGTACATCCAGTGAAATGGTGCTCAAAAAAGAATGAAGAGTCCAGGGGCGGACTGACCATTTGGAAACTCGGGCACTGCCCGAGGGCCCGGGGTCAGTAGGGGGCCCCATGAGATGCCCCTGGTACCTTTTTTCATAGGCTTTTTTGAGTTTGGGCAAGGACACAGGGGCCCCATGATCCCCTATTGCCCGGGGGCCCCATGAGTTATCAGTCCACCCCGGGAAGAGTCCTCATTGTAGAGTATTTAAAACACCATACATTTATTAAAACATTAGAAAAATCCAGAGGAAATATATTTACAACTTCCAGTGCATAAATCCTAAATTGTGGATTGGACTTTTGAACATAACATTTTATCCACGTTTATATACGCACTTTACATTGTGGTATTTTTAGTTAGTATGATTTTTATACATGTCAGTGCATGTCATTTGTTTGCACATGAATTCATATAATTTCACTGTAAACAATTAGGTCATATTGCATTGAAGTTGGATTTGCACATTAACACATGTAGTACACTTCTTTTGATTATATTGTGACTGTGCTTTCAAGAAATACTAATAAGTAATGACACTTGTATGTAAATAAATTGGTAATAATTGTTGGGGTTGCAGTGTATCGCTTGCTGGATCCAGTTCACAACATACTGTATATGCAGAGCTTGATTCAGTTATTTCCTGTTTGGAAGCAGAGGTTGGAAGTGAAGCACTCCTTTTTCTAAGGCTAAGTTCACATTAGCTTTGTAAGCAGGAATTTTGCAGGCGTTTGAGGGGCGGTTTTTTAATGCTCCTCAAATGCCTATAAAAATTATACACATGGCAGCACACAGTGCTATTTACACTGAAGCATTAGCGCCGCGTCACTGCTAAATTGACGCCTCAGTCTTTTTTAGTTCGCCACGGCGAAGTGAGCTGGAAGTTCGGCCCCCTCCTTGCTCCCGCAGTCTCCTGGGAGCTTTTACAGGTCCCAGGAGGCTGCCGGACCAATCAGGAGGTGTGGTGCGACTCATGCATGTGCAGTGGGCACCAGGCTGTGAAGCTGCAAGCTGTCACAGCCTGGTGCCCACAGTAAAGCTGCCGGAAGAAGCAGAGAAGGGACTGCACGGGCGAGTACATCGCTGGACCACGGGACAGGTAAGTGTGTGTTTATTAAAAGTCAGCAGCTAAAGTTTTTGTAGCTGCTGACTTTTAATAAACACAGAAATGGCTGGAACTCCACTTTAAGTAGCCATGCAGCTACGGGATTGAATCCATTCTTACAGAGGAGGTAAATTGTAGTAAAATAGAGAGAATACAATGTTAATAAACTAAAATAACAGTGTGTAACAGTGTGTGTAAACAATTAACATTTTGGAAAAAGATCTACCACACATGTAAAATATTGGATATTAAAAACAATAACAAAATTAAGGAAATAAATGAACTGGTGTATGAACCCTCAGATAAATATACATCTAAACATAGAAAAGCAAGAGATTTGCAAAAATATATACTTTTTATCAATATAACCGGGGGCGGACTGACCATTTGGAAACTCGCCCACTGCCCGAGGGCCCGGGGTCAGTAGGGGGCCCCATGAGATGCCCCTGGTACCTTTTTCATAGGCTTTTTTGAGTTTGAGCAAGGAGACAGGGGCCCCATGATTCCCTATTGCCCCATGAGTTGTCAGTCCGCCCCTGAATATAACGCATATATAAAAAATACGCACATCATAAAAAATGGCTCTAGCCGGCCACTCTGACAGCTCTTAAATTGGGCCAGCTTATAAAAGGGCCAGATGGGCCAGCTTATAAAAGGAGGCAGGACCTTGGAAACGCATTGCGGTCCCCCCCTCCCGACAGCCTGCCATGTTCTCCTGTCTACCTTCCTGTTAGTGCTGTGAAAGAGGAGAGACGCCGCCAATTTACCATCTTGCAGTGGGTCCCTGCTTGTGCCCTGCAGCCCTATTAGTCCATTCAGATTGCTGCGAGCCGTACATCGCACCACCACTCTGACACCTGGAGCAGTCTACAGGTCTTTCAGATGTATTTATTTATTATTTCAGGTACTTATATAGCGCCATCAATTTACGCAGCCCTTTACATATATATTGTACATTCATAACCCTCAAGGGGTGTACAATCTAAGGTCCCTAACTCACATTCATACATACATACATACACATACCAGGGCCAATTTGGACAGGAACCAATTCACCTAACAGCATGTCTTTGGAGTGTGGGAGGAAACTGGAGTACCCCAGAGGAAACGCAAGCACAGGGAGAACATGCAAACTCCAGGCAGGTGGTGCCGTGTTTGGGATTCGAATCAACAATTCTAGTACTGCCAGGCGGAAGTGCTAACCATTTAGCCACTGTGCTGCCCTAAGTGAGATATGGCATTAAAGTGTTGTTTTTAACCATACACTAATCTGGCACCCTGCTCTGTTTCCTTTC